TTGAAATGAGGTAATTATTTTAAATAGCACCTATGCGTTTTTAGCTAAAGAGGCTGTGAAATTACATTTCCTTAAATCATCACTAGATTGGTTTGTATGGGTTGAGTACACACCACAGGCTGCCAGAGGGCAGAGGCAGCAGTAAGGAAGCAAATACCAATCTTGTCTTTCCTTTCTGCTGTTCTGGGGAGGGGAAGGCAGGGTGATGAATTTCACACTGCTGTGAATACTTGATTGGAGTGTTCTGTAAGGTGGATTATTTGAATTTCAATCCCTGCAGCTTATGAAGATCATAGGCTGTACCACAGAAATGTAGGCTGAGAGGGACCTCTGGAGGTCCTCTAGTCCAACCTCCCGCTCAAAGCAGTGCTAACTTCTAAGTTGAATAAGATTGTCCAGGCCCTTGGTTACACAAGCTTTGAAAATCACCAAGGATGGTGATTCCGCAGCCTCTCTTAAGCAACTTCTTCCTTTTATGATGAAGAATATTTCTTTATAGCTAACTGGAATTTCCTTTACTGCAATTTCTGACTGTTGCCTCCTGTCCTTTCATGGTGCACCTCTGGAACAGGTCTAGCTCTGCAAGCCCCCTTTGGGCAGCAGAAGACAACAGTTAGCTCTCCCCTTTTGCAAGGAGAAAAAAGTCTGTTCCTCCACTGGACTTTTCTGTTTTGAATATATTTCTTGTGTGGTTTGTGGGGCCCAAAACTGGTCTTGGTATTCCAGATGTATCCTCATGGTGCCGAGTAGAAAGAAATAACCACTTCCTTTGCCTGCTGGCTATGCTATTGCTAATGCAGCTGGGTATGTGGTTTGTCTGCATTGCTGCAAGGACATACTGCTGACTCATGTTCAGCTTCTCCCTCAGATCATTTTCTACAGAGCAGCAGTGCAGACAGACAGTTCCCCGCCTATTGCAATGCATGAGCTTATTCCCTCCCACATACATGGGTGTATTTCTCTCAGATAGAAGAAAACTTCTGGTTATTCTGGCTTAAGTAGATTCACAATTAAATTGCCATATTCCTTAACAATGAAAAAACCATCAAAACTTAAACTGACATCATTATAAACATTAATTTACTTTCTGTTGAGGATCTCACACTTATTAGAATTACAAGTACATCATAGCAAAGAGATTTTTACAGAAAAAGGTGTTTATAGCAATTGAGTTTGGCTATGTAGCCAGGCAATAAAAAGGGCCCTTGGAGTGTGCAACTTTGTACAGCAAACAGACTATAAATATTAGGTATTCTGCACTATTTGGATGGAAACGTTCCATGGCTAAAGCATCCCATTTGATGTAAACAACGACTTCTTCCAAAGAGTTGCTACAGGTGTCAAAAAACTAATTCACTGTTAGCTCTATTACAAGGGCTTAATTAATTAACTCACTGTTGCCACAGTTATCAGGGAAAGATTATGAATATCAAGTGGATTTTTTTAACTAAACAGATGGTTGTTGTTTTCAAATGTTGGCTGTAGCCAGATCCAACAATGTAAGTTCTTGGACCTGGAGTTCTTGGACCTCCTCTCCTTGCAGAGGAGGCTTCCTCCTTTCGCTGTGTTTCTTGGCAGAATCCTATTATGCAGCCTTCTAGACTGCATTTCTGTTTTTTCAGTAGAAAGTTGTGCTGCTTGGAATTCATGCTAATGTGATTATCCAATAATTGAAGTAGGGATTAAAAAATCTTCTGTATGTGGTTATTTATATTATTTATCTGCATCCATTTATCTCAGCAGTGAATTTATCATGACTGGACTGACATGTTCTTTGCTGTAAATTATTACCATGGCATTTGTACTTTGAGATAAGGGTGTGCTAACAGATGGATGAAAAGAAACTAAGTTTCCTTTGAATATGTGACAGTTTTTCAGCCAGCTATTTAAAAACAGATGAGGGCCAAATTCTACCCTGCTTATGATCTTGCTGTATGATAATTTCAACAAGACTTTCCTCTGTGTGTGTGGAGGGGGAACTGTTTTCATACAGAATATTAGTCCTGAAAGAAATAAGCATTCTATTTACACATATAGAAGAGGTTTCAAGTCTTCCAGGAAATCTGTTTGAAAACTATTTACAGTATTAGTATGCAAATTATATACTACACCCTAAACGGGAATCTTGCAACAGAGCACTCTGACAGGCATCTCACTATCTGAACTCTGGTAGTCCAGTTAAAAAAGCAACACAAACAGAAAACACAGCTGGATGTAATTGTATCCAAACACATACTTATTATGTTAATGGGGGCATACGAATAAAATGAAATGTTGTCCAGCAAAGATTTTCCCACAAAGTCTCTGAGTTATTTTAGCAAAATGTTCAAATAATGCAAGCTTTTGTGTTTGTTTTGATTGAAAAGATGTTTGATATTTATTCCTAAAAATTGACAGATGAAGCGTGGCAGCACCAGAGAAACAATAAATCCCATCTCATGTCAAGTATCATTTTAATAAATATTCTTCAGTTGAGAAGAAAACATGAACTGTGGCCCCGATTACATTAGGTACCTTCAGTGATATAATTTAAATGAAATTATGAGAACAGGATTGTATGGTGGTAGCGATATAGGTCTTAAACTCCTATTGTTACCCCAGGTTGTCAGACTAGTGATACACCCTTTACCTGCCTTGCCCTTTGCACTGAAGCTTCCTGACACTTCCCCGCCTGTATCTTCCTGCTGCTGCTCTCCTATCGGCCTCTCTTCAGTCACACCTTGGTCCGGTTTCTGCCCTCACAGCCTCTCGTGACTGCCCGTGCTGAAGTATGCCACAGCAGCTTTACTTCAGTGTGAGAGGTTTTAAACAGTCGAGTGTCAGTAAGAGTCCACTAGATGCTGTAGAAGATGCTGTACTGGGTTGGGTCTTTTTCCAACCAGCAAAAGCTTCACCCTTGTTTCATTCCTAAAAATCTCCCAGAATTTCTTGTGGTGTCCCTCACATCGATCTGCACAGCTCTGGCATGTAAGTTACCTGGGCAAGGTGCTAGATCTGTTCGTACCAATTTACTGCCTGTGGACTTGAAATCTTTGAAAATAAGAGGCTTTGGATGAGGCTTGTGCCCTTTTTTTTTTTTTTTCCTTTTTTTTCCCCCTCTCCAATTTTAGGACATGCTTTTAACAAACCATAACTGAAAACTAAACAAACAGCAGTTTCTGCCTTATGTAGGTGCGCCTGCTATTCAAATGATTGCATTCAAGGGCTGTAGATATTGTTAAAAGCTCGTGTCTTCTTCACTGCCAGTTGCTGCCATAATCTTAAAGTAGATGCATTGTTTTCTTTTTAACTTTATATCTCAGTATACTGCCCTGTGAAATTGCTTTCTTCCTTTAAATTGACCATCATGCAGAATTTTGTATTTTTCAAGCTGTCATTGTCTTTGAGAATTACAAGTTATTCTGAGTTCAAAAACTACCATTTTTGTTCACAAGCACAAAGTGTACCTTCCCAAATCTAGCTCATTAGGCATGTCAGATGCAGTCTTGAGAATATTATCTAAATGCCTATTTTTATTCTTAGTGATGAGGAACTGTTTATACTGCAAATGTAATATGATCAAACACACATTAATGTATTACTTTAAAATAAAAACTTATTTATTAATTTAAAAATCATACTGGATAAAAAAATCAGTCTGTTATTTAAAATATTTTCCAGAGGCAAAGTACCATTGGTCTGTTTAAAGAAATGTATTTGTTTCTTGGCTCTGCCTATATAAGAAATGTTTAAAATTTTTGTCTGTGAAGATTTATAGCCACATCAAGTGTTTTACGTTATGATAAGAAGACAAAGCTTGTACCATTAGTGTGATAATAAGTCCAGCTTAGTTGTCCGGCAAGTAAATTCTACATCTAGCTACTCCCATTAAAAAAACACAACCTACTTTCACTAAAAATCTGCTCCTGCTAGAGAGCAGATTTTGTACTTCCCACTCTCAGTGGCAAATGTAATCCCTCTAAAATCAATAGAGGGAGCATAACCTGAGCATAACCTGAGAGCATAACACTTATTATCAGTTGTTTCTAGCAATTGGGTAAAGAACAGATTTCTGCAGAGAGTTCGTACTTAGAAGGAAGTGTCAAAGGAAGATGAATTAGGAGAAACTAGAGGACTTTTGTCCTTTGGGAAGCTACAGAGTTGTGAGGATGAATCTTTGAAGGCCAAATCAGATGTGTTGAGAGTCATTCTGTTTAGACTGCCAGTCTTCTGGTTAGGCTGCTGAAGCCTGGGTTTGGTTTTTTTCTTTTTTTTTTTTCTGAAGAAACAAATCCCATTTCGGCACATTTTTTTTTAATCTTTTTTAAAAAAAGATCATCTTTAAAAAAGTGACCCAAAACCAGATGCTCCTGAAGGGAGCCTGGGGTTCACAGCTGAGGTGGCTATTGCACAATTCTATTTATTTCGTCTCATTAGGTCAACCATGCTTCTTAGAGGGAAAGCTAGAATGCACATTGTATGGCTTCCTTGGTAAAACCAAAGCAGAAACATGTGATTTGTTTCTGTTATCTTGATAATTTATTTTATTTCAAATTCACGATGTCATGAGGTCTAAGCATGTCATCTTCAGTGTCCCACTCCAAAATTCCCAAATACTGTCAATAGCAATTTAATTTGAATTAGTACCTGTCTGTGCTACAAGTGTGTCTTATAATATGCATTTGGGTATTTTCCCTTCTCTGTACATTGCTTTCAATACTTTCAGCATAAAGATACAGATTAAAACTTCTCCTAAAAACCATCATAGGGTCCAGCAAACAACACTGAAGAGCAAAAGAATCTCTCTTACAATAAACCAGACAAAATGGTACTCGAGATGCTTCCTTAGACTCTGTTATTTAGGTTTTAGGGACTATTGCAGAAGGGCATCAAGTTATTATATGCCTCTAGTTATTTATTTTCTTAGCCTTACAAACTGAAGAGGAGTATCTCAATGAAAATAGTATGGAGTTCCTTCACAGGTTTTATCCTTGTGCTTTCCTTTCTTTTCCTTTTAATAGCCTGGATGTGTAAACACTACTGAAGTGGATATAAAAAAATCTTCAAGAATGAGAAATCCACATAAAACAAGAAAGGTAAGTACTGTTAATATATCAAAAGCAGGAGGGGGAGGTAATTTATAGCATGAAGTTCCATAGTTTCTTAAAACTATTTTTTCTTACAGCTGCAAAGAACAAATACTTGAATGTATGTTATTATTTCATAAGCTCTTAAATGAATTAGTATTAACAAATTTGCTAATACTAAGTAAATGCTATCACATAAGAAAGGCTTTGGAGAAATACACAGAGAATATGAAAATAAAATTCATTTTTGCGTGCTTTATTCATGTTGTTTAGTAGATTGAATAAAGCATGTTAAAATGTTTCTGTCAGTAATTAAGGAAAAATAAATTAAAAATGCAGTGCAAACTATAACAGCGGTTCTTCTTGTGCTGGTATTAATGAAAAGGGTGTCTCTAGTTTACAATTATGCCCCAAACGGATGACCAGAAATTGTGGCAGAAATTAGCTTCATCTAAATTAGGATTTAGACATGAACAGGGTAAATTCTCTAGGGATGTATAGATGGATTGGAACAACACTTTCTTTCAAATCCTTTGTATCATAATAACGTAGATTGACTCCAGCTTTAAAATACTCCCTTTGAGGTATATTTCCATGTCAACCCTTGGAAAAATATGTTTTAAAAAGGAAGGTGGATTTAGAGAAAGTTTTAGCTTAGCTTATTTATGGTAGTGAAAGGTCCAGATTAGTGTAATTTACAAAGCAGTAATTGCAAATTTGGGAGTCATCCAAATAATCCATTGTGATAGTCTATATTTCAGGATACTATTTCTTCTTTTCCTACCGGTCATCTCCACTTACTGTAATAGCTGCCTTTCAGTGTCATCCCCCATGTTTACTATGCTGTTAATATAGAGACATAATAAAAGTAGATCCTGTGTTCTATGGCATTATGAAATTATGGGGCTTTGGGAGTCTTTATTTCACACCGTGGTATAGAAGCACAATTTTATCTGAGTGCACGGCTTATTTGCAGTTTCTTTAAAAAAAGATGATCTTGGCTAACTTCTTGAGCACACTGTACTAAAACATCACAGCTACTATGGGTACATGTAGAAAGCATTGTCTGAAAGCAACTATCATTGTTCCATATTTTTTGCGTAGTCTGTCTACGGCTTACAAAATGACATTCGAAGTCACAGCCCTACCCACACACCAGTACCAGAGACTAAGCCACCCACCGAAGATGAACTACACCAAGAGGTTTGAAAAATAAGTACAAACGTACTTTTAAATGAACTTTTTAGGAAAGTAGGTATTAAACCAAAAATTATTGTAACTGGGAAGTATGTTCAGAACAGACCTAGCAAACATTTAGTGAACCTTTTCCTTGTTTCAGGATATACGGATTTAGGTATGTAACTTCTATTAAAACTAATGAGGCAAAACCTGACATTTTTTGTGTTGTGCATTACATAGTTAAAGGCAGTTAGCAGCAGGCCAGTTACTGGGTTCTTTGCATAGGTAAGCCCATTAGCTCCTTTAGCAGTAGACACCTCACTCTTCCTTTCAACACTGATGCGAGGTTTTGGGGTACACTTACCTCTCCGTGTATGCACATATGGGTTCACTCACTTATCTACTTCACAGAATCATACAATCATTAAGGTTGGAAAAGACCTCTAAGATCAATGAGTCCAACCGTCAACCCAACACCACCATGCCCACTAAACCATGTCCCTAAGTGCCGCATCTACACAGCTTTTAAATACTTCCAGGGATGGTGACTCAACCACTTCCCTGGGCAGCCTGTTCCAATGTTTAACTACTCTTTCAGTAAAGAAATTTTTCCTTACATCCAATCTAAACCTCCCCTGGCACAACTTGAGGCCATTTCCTCTCGTCCTATCGCCAGTTACTTGGGAGAAGAGACCAACACCCACCTCGCTACAACCTCCTTTCAGGTAGTTGTAGAGCACAATGAGGTCTCCCCTCAGCCTCCTTTTCTCCAGGCTAAACAACCCCAGTTCCCTCAGCTGCACCTCATAACACTTGTGCTTTAGACCCCTCACCAGCCTCGTTGCCCTTCTCTGGACACGCTCTAACACCTCAACGTCCTTCTTGTAGTGAGGGGCCCAAAACTGAACACAGTATTCGAGGTGCGGCCTCACCAGTGCCGAGTACAGAGGGATGATCACTTCCCTACTCCTGCTGGCCACACTAGTTCTGATACAGGCCAGGATGCCATTGGCCATCTGGGCACACTGCCGGCTCATGTTCAGCCTGCTGTTGACCAGCACCCCCAGGTCCTTTTCTGCTGGGCAGCTTTCCAGCCACTCTTCCCCAAGCCTGTAGCGTTGCATGGGGTTGTTGTGGCCGAAGTGCAGGACCCAGCACTTAGCCTTGTTCTGTTCTTGTTCTTGTACTGTTCATGCTTCATTAATCTTTCCTGAGGTGTTAGAATTGGGAGAAGGCAAATGTCTGAAGAATTAGTAGTTCTCTTCAAAAATCTAAAAAAAAAGGCTAATTGGATTTCTCTTGAGGAATCTTTAGGGAAAATGTTATACTGGGTCCTTTTTTTGTCTCTGTGTGATCTTTTCTCTTTGACAAAAAATTCCATTTATTTTAGAACTACACTGGTGAAATGTTGTTTTAACTCAGATATATTTCTCTTCTGTGCCCTAGGATAAATTAAGGTTAAATTACAGCCCTAATAAAAAAAAGTTACGGAAATAGAATCAAGCAATGAATTACTCATAACACTCTTTGCCTTCCTTTCTTGCAGATTAAGCACTGGCAAATGCAATTAGACAGACATAGATTAAAAATGTCAAAAGTTGCAGAGAGGTAAGTATATTGTCACATCTGCTGGTTTTTCAATTAGACTGATAACTATTGGGAAAATGTCAGCATGAAATAGCTTCAAAGAAAGAGAGACAAGGGAACTCGGGTGTCATAGAAATAACTGATGAGAGTTTACTTTAAGTGGGAGGTATGAAGTTCTTTGGTAAAAGATGGCCCAGATATTCCATGATACATTTCTGATAAACCCAAGAGTCACTGAAAGAGCCTCTGACCAAGTGGTCACAAGTTTCACCTTGTATTGGCAGGGAGGCTAAATAGAAATAGGTCTGGGGTTACTGTTTTGATATTTCAAAAGGGCAATCATTGACAAAGCAAGGGAACTGATCGGCAGAGCTGGCTGGGTGAGGAGCTCGGTGCTTGAACAAAGTGGGTCTGTGCCTACTTTGGGTCAAAGGTTGTACCACTAGTAGGAGTCTTTCTCTGAATAAGACTAAAATTTGTCAGGAAGGGGCTAGAAAGCAAATAAAATTAGGGGCTAGAAAGCAAATAAAATTAAAAGACCCTTGGAAAGACTACAGCTTAGGTAGAGAAGAGGTAGAGAAAAGGAATGCTCTATCTTACACATCAAATACAGAGAGAGTGAAAATTGCAGAAAATTTAGCTGCATAAGACTTAGTAAAGGAAATTAAACCAAATACAAATGGTTCTTCATCCTCTCATATACATTTGTGCATGTGTGTCTACTTATATATGTGTATGTATGCATACACATACAAACACATATAAACATATATTTATAAAGAGAACAGGTTAAGAATTTTTGTTTGCTGAACAGTAAAAATGGAATACAGACTAAATATTATATAAATAGGAATGAAAAGAAAGAGTATTTATTCTCACTTATCAATAATTTTTCAATAAATATGAGGCAAAAGGAAACATAGAAAGCGGGAATAAGGGCATGGGAGATGTAAATTACCAGAATACAAGCAAAGTTTTTAGTGTGTTCAGCTGAGTCAGACCGATTCATGAATACCGAAGAATTTGGAAAAAAAAAAAGGTTTTTTTTGGAAAGCAATAAACTTGGGAGTAGTGCCATTTGCTTAGGAAAGAAGAAAATTATTAACTGTATTTAAAAGAGGAAAAAAGAAGTCCCAGCAGCTGCAGGGCCAATAAATATGACCTGAATAGCATGCAGTGTTTTAAAACTGATTTTAAAGGAACTGATAATTAAAACTGTAGGGGTATAAAACATGTTTCTTTATGAAGCAAATGTGCATGGAAGAGGTTGCTTGATTTAATTTATTAGTGCCTAAAGGAGTCCTAAAAGGAGCTACGTGGAAGTATGAGGGGGGGTTGTAGTTTATTTTATTTCAGCTCTTGATAAGACCTGAGCCACGCCTCCTTCTTCAAGGGTCCACTTTTAAAAGGCTTGAGCAAACCTATTTTAGCCTGAGCTTGTAGCTGACTTCTGAATGTGTGCACACCCGGTTACCATGGTTCAGTTGATGCAAGGTAACTTGTTAACTGGGGTAACCTGATCAGGTTTCCTCACCTCCTGACATGGCAATGTTTGATGCTTTTGTTTTCCTAGTCTATTAGCTTATACAGAGCAGTATTTGGAATATGATCCTTTTCTTGTGCCCCCTGATCCCTCAAACCCTTGGATATCAGATGACACCACTTTCTGGGAACTGGAGGCAAGGTATATGATTTTATTTCTTCTACTGGGGTAAGGGGGTATAACAGGCTTTTCTTGAAAAGTGAAGATTTCAGCCAGAGGTATTGCAGGAAAATGCTGAGGCAGAAAGGCAATGCAGTATCCTTTTGGTCTTTCCAGCTTTACAGTTTCATAAGATGGGAAGAGCTATGGATTAATAAATCTATGTAAAAAGTTACAGTAACCAGTTTCCAGGGTTCCAGTGTGGGGAAAAAAGACACCTTTTAAAATCTGGTAACGTTTCCTAGTTGGAAATCCTTATTCTTCTGTGTAAATGCATGCGTATTACCTCCATCCTGTGTAAGTATTAACAGCCTGGTTGCTCATCTCTGAACATTGCATAGATAGGAGCAATCTGGAAGGTGAGAAATCTGTGGTTGAACTTTAGGGCATAGTCTGAATTATGAACACAGAGTATTAGAATACTGACTATTGCTGATTCTAAGTTCTGTTGTTTTTCCTTCTGTAGCAAAGAGCCAGGACAGCAGAGGGTGAAACGATGGGGATTTGGCATGGATGAAGCTTTGAAAGACCCTGTGGGAAGAGAGCAGTTTCTCAAATTCCTGGAGTCAGAATTCAGTTCAGAAAATTTAAGGTAAATGAGAGGGACTTTATTTTTTAATATCTTGTAAGATACATTGGGGGTGGTTTTTTGTCTGATAAATTTCTTTTCATTTTTTGACCCCTTCAAAAATTTTCCTGTGTCTTACCTTTCAGAATCCATTCATGCAGATTGCGGCCTGCTCCCATATTCAGGCTGAGGGAAAGATTGATATAGTTAGCAGAGACTCACATGAAGCATATTTTCTCATTCATATCCAACTTTTGGTCAAAATACCCATGTAAGAGCTTTTCTCTCAGCTCATTTTATTAAACAGGTTTAAAACATTGACCATTCAAAGCCTGTTCAGTATCTTTTATTAAGACCAATATTATGAGAACAGTAAAATTAAAAAAGAGAATTTGTTAAAAAATAAATAAAGGATTTAAAAGTAAAATTCACAGACTTTCACTGTTGGTCAGGTTTCTGGGGATCATTTGTCTTTCAAAAATCTCCAGTAAGATTCTAGTACTTGTGGATCTGACACAACAGAAGTAGTGAACAGCTAGCTCTCAAATTCCTTACTAATTGCAAAATGGAAAAACGCTGCTAGTGTATGAAGCTTAAATAAAATTCAAAGAAAAAGTATACAGAATTACTTTTAAGTGAGGGAGAACAATTATTTGATTTTAAAAAATGATAGTCCATCCATTGGCTAATAGCATGTTTTGTTGTCGCTGTTCTAAGGAAGTCCATTTCGGTAAGAATTATTTCAGAGGGATTGATAAAAGCTTTTCTATAGATAAGTCAAACTATACATAATACAAAATCATGTACAACATATTTTTCTCTTTATTCCACCTTTTTGTCAGATGTCATCTATGTCACTTCGCATTCACCAATAGCATAAGGTGTATAAAATCCTATTCTAAAACTCATTAAAATCCTAAACTACATTTTTTCCTATGCCAGTTATCACTCCAAAGTGGTGCAGCATAGCCATTCATACTAGAGTTACATTTATGTAGTATCTTACAAGAGGCATTTAGTATTTTGTGATGTTGATTCACAAATGCTGAGTAATTGCACAGACCTTGTTAATTTTGTCAGCAGAATAATTGGAGACGGACTTCTCTAAGTTGCTGACCGTGTTCATATTGAAACATTGAATTTTGCATCACAAATGTATATTAGATACTCTAGACCTTATAATATTTTCCAACTGATTTGTGTTTGCCTTTACCCCCATGGAAATATGGACTGACCTGTATGTGTATGTTGATAACTTCATTAGTGACAGACACAATTTTTTTTTTAATTAAAAAATCCAAGTGATAAAATGAAATTTTCAAAATCAGAATAATACCAAGAAAAGGAAAGGTAATTTTTTTATTTAAAGGGCATCCTGGTAATTCCTTATGCAGAGCAACTCTTCAAACATGAACCTATCTAGCCCAGTGTGTGCTGCAGTTTCTATACTTTTCTGTGATTAATTTGTCTCTCTGCCAACTAGACTGTTACCCGCATAATCTCTAGCTCTTTCTTCTAATCCTATTTACAAGACTAACCACAGGCAAACTGCAAGTGACTGATCCAGAGAAATTTCCTAGAGAAATTTGTTCAGAGCTGATTCCTTGACGTGCCATCTTCTGTCTCTCTCTAGATTCTTACATTGGCATTATAAAATAGAATATCTGAGCAATGGTGAATATGAGCTTAAAGGCTGTCCCTGGGAAGGATCAGGCAAGGGATCAAACTTGCACTGAAAAGGTGCTTTCTGTGACAGTTAACTGAAGGAAAACTGTCTCACAAGCTCAGAATTATGTTTACGAATTCTCAAACTGTGGGGAAATCAATCCACGGTTAGGCTCACACAGTAAAGTCGGGTGAGAAAGCATGAATTTGTAAAGCTTATTGTGTGTGAATCAAGATGTTATAGATCTCAGTAATAGAAATGAAAAGTTTGATGGTTTCAAGCATTACTGCTGAATAAACCTTAAATTTAAAGACCACCAATTCTTTGCTCACCTCTTAACCCCACTGGGGCAATTTAGTTGTTTGGGGTGCATTTTTTTTATTTGACAGCCACCTTGAGGAAAAGATTTGTTTCCGTCCACATCTTCCCACTGCAACAAAGTCAACTCAAGTCAGTAGCTGGTTCTTGTCCTTTTACAGATCTAATCATGATAAAATTTACAACAAACACTATCAAACCTACAGTGGGATAGACAGCTGGGACCCTGGATCCAAGCTACCAAGTGCAGTGCACAGGATACAGCAGGGGACTGCAGACACTACAGAGAGAGTCAGTATTAGTTGATTAGAAGTCTTATACCTCACTTTGGTGAAAGAAATGCCAAAAATGTGAAATTATAAGTAAGTCTACCAGATACACCGTTTCTATTCAAGCACGATTATCTTATGTGGCTATAAGTCCCAGTGTTACTGTTTCATTAACTTGGACTGAGTGTCTAAGCTGGCTGAGAATCTCATTCTTAGTGGATTTAGATCCTGTTTTAAGAAACAGAACAGGGATGAAAAAACTTGAGCCATGAGTTAAAACTAAGAACTCCGCAATGATTAGGAATGCAAGCAGGTTTCACCTTCTTACTCTGTATCTGTGCTTTTTTTCTTTGCCTGTAAATTGGGATTAATAGTATTTCACTCTCTAAAGGGGTGTTGTAAAGCATAGCAAAGGAATAAAACTGTTTAAGCAGTTCTGTCAGTGCGGTAGCTTCATTACAGTGTGATTGCAGTTTGCTAACACCCAGGTTGGATTCTGCATTCACCTAACGCAGGCTATGACTTGTAATCTCTTGTTACCATGCAGTTTTTTTGGAGGGATCGCTTTGCATGCTGCTCACTACACAGAACAAATAGCTAAAGTAACATATGATTTGGATAATAGATTTATAAAATTCCCACTGCCTATTACAAAAATGGTGACCATTGTTTAAAATTCACAAGACTTAAGTTTGAGCATGATCCAATACTACTGAGCTTGGTCACAAGGCTGTCCAAGCACTGAAAAAGGGCTTTTCAAAGAGAGTGAGATAGTGAAATGAATCTTACTGCAATGTGGCACCTGGAGACCTAATTTCTTTCATCCCTGTAGAAAATCCCCATTCCTCTCCATATCCTTCCTTTGTCAGTAGTGCTGCAGGATTCTTTGGAAAGTTAATATTTGTATGCTGACTGTACATTTGCTCCCAAGTGGTTGTTTTGTAGGAATTGTAGCCTGTAAAGATCTAAATGGTTTCAGGCCTGCCAATCTGAAAGCCTGTCCAAGTCATTATGCAGTATTGCAGTAGGTGTGATCTCCAAGGCAGTGCTAAGACTGCAAAAGCCTCCTAGGTTAGTGAAGGGAAAAGTGGTGACAGGATATCTTCCGTGATGCACGGAAGGAAAAGCCACGGGACCCCTTGCCCCTTCCTTTGATCCTCATTTATTAGCTTCCATAATGTGTGAGTAAATAGGGAAAAGGGGCTCTGAGTTCTGGTTGTCCAGAAAAAGAAGGGAGGGATTGAGGAGTTAGCTAGATTCAGATGTTCTCCCTGATAAATTTTCTCTGACCATCCCGCTGCAAGTTGAGATTTTGTGAGGTGTTTATTTTGGACTCATCCATGTAAGTTGTTGTAGAAATGTTCTGTACTGGAAATAGGGGCTTCAATTATGTCCTGTAGAAAAAATAAATAAAACCCCACATATAGACTGCTAAAAATTTGCAGTGTTGCCTACAAACTGTTTCAGTCATAGTGCTTAATTTTATGATTAACTTACTTCAGTGGTTCTGGTTATTCTTTTAATAACACTGTGACAGTGCTTTTACTAGAGAAGAGGGAGCAAGGTGCAAGAGGTTAAGTTTTCTTTTTAATCCAGCCTGTTTCGCTTTCACTTTTTTGCTCTTTATTACTGATCACCACTTTTGATGACTTTAAATGCAAGACATTTCTGTCTTCACTGATGGTGGAGGAGGGAGTTCTGCATGTTACAAAGTATGAAGATTGATTACCTGTCCTTGATGTCTGTCCTGCAAGTCTGAACAGCAGTGTTGGTAATGATGGTTTCCCACACAGTGTGGGCAGTGATAATGTTTATCCTTCACACTGTTGATTATGAGACCCTGTTTTGGGTGCTAATAACTTGACCAAAATTTAATCCTCAAGGCTGAAATTGCCTGTGCTTTATTTCTCATTCAGACTCAAGTTAAACTCCAGGTCCCAGCAATGTTGCCATTTCTGCAGATTAGGTGAGAAGGAATTAGAAGATTTAATGGTTTCCTCTATCTTTTTCTTGAGGACCTTCAGCACTACTATGCCTTGAAGTTGTACTTGGCAAGAAGGTGGACTCTAGGAATCGGAGAGTAGTCTCTCCTGCCCCTAGAAAAATGTTAGCTGATTTTCTCCATAGAGTTTGTTAAGGTTTTTGTTTGCTTTTGCTGAAAAAGCTGAAAGGTCTGTCCTCTGACCTGTTGTGTCATATGCACTGGGTGCAAAGCCCACGTAATTCCCACTTCACTGTCTCCACACTCTGCCTAAACCTCGCACATTTTGTGGAGAATCACTGCAGCCTTTCTCTCACTCTGTGTTCCTATGTGCTAAATTTAACTGATTAGCTTGATCTGGGATCTGCTGATGGCTGCATCTGACATTTAGGTCAGTTAATGGGACAGAAGCCATGTTGCAGCTGTGCTATTTTTCTGGCAAGGCCACCCTTACTTTGAAAGTAATCCAGCTGGAGGACATAATCCCCAGATGTCTTCCAGCATGTGTCTTATCATGTCATGTGGCTGGATGTATGACGATCATATGCTATACACTCACTCAGCTGTACATCTGGTGTGTGACCCAGCATGTGGTAGCCCAAATGCTGGGACAGAAGACAGCAGTGAGGTTTACACCCAGCTACTCAGGTCTCTGTTCAAACGCACTGAGCATCTTCTAGAGAGGGTCCCCATGGCAAAAGCAAACCTCCACCAACAGGAGATACAGAGTTTCATCCAAGGGCAGAGAGACTGAGCTCTAGTTCCTTCCACTAAGTAGCACTAAGTCTGTGTATATTATTGTCCAGAAAATGCAGTTGGGTTCCCCCTCTCCCCTCTCCTGCCCTCACATGTTTTTACTGTTGCACACTGCGTGCTGTTGGCTACAGGAGACTTCTCTTGTTCTGGTCACTGCTCATGAGGTAGAGAGCTGTAAAAGGGGACAGGGAGCTCTTTTGATTTGAGGCCCTGTGCTGAGGTCTTGCAGACTCCATTTCAACTGCATCTGTGCTAGTGGTTGCCATGGGATATTTGGAAAAGTTATTTTTGAAAATACAAGAGGCATTTTTGGCATTTCCTAACTTTGCATATTTGACTTTAACTCTCTGTGGGAGGAGGGCAGGCGTTTTTTCTTGAAAGATCAGTAAGTATTAAAATGTTAAAATATGTGTTGGCTGTGAAGTAAGCACCCTAGACATAACATACTGCACAAATCAGCATTTTCTTCCTGCTTTTACAGATGTTTCTATATTTAGAACCTCACATTTTCAAAAGGGTTTTGAATGCTAATGTTAGAAGGGTAAAATAAAATTAATCTATCAAAGAGCTGGTGTTCAGCCTGTAAGGATGTGTCTGTACAACCTGCCTATTCTATGCTAGAAGCTGAATGTTTCCTCAAAGAAGTTAAATTTATCTCCCATCTATTTCCCCATAATTGAGTATAACCTACTATATGGAAACAGTTTACTTGCAAAAGAAAATAGCTTCCTAAGGCATGTTTGTGGTCCAGAAGTATTGGCAGTGATATAATGGAACAAAAAAGAATGTGACAGCTTTCAGCTAGATCCTCAGGAGGTCTGCAGGGTGATAGAAAATGTGTGTTTACAAAGAACATCCTCCCTTTCCATTTTTCTATTCCTTACCTGACTTCGATACACATGAGTAATCAGTCAGTCCCAGAAGATGCATTTGAAGGGGTTAGCGCTGCAGGATATACACTTTTAAATGCAAATATCGAAAGCAGCTTAAGGAAACCAAAGTAGGTTGCCCAAATTTGACGGAGTGAACTGAATTAGAGTTCGTGAGCTGTGCAGTTTTTAAACTTGAGTTATGAGGCTATTCTTACTGCATTGCATCAGATTCTCAGGATACGTCCCCAGGCTCTGTGCAGATCTATGTTCAATTCACATTGCAGTTCATAGAGATAAGTGATGCTACCCAGAATTTTTGAAACTGAAGTTCTGTTGGCACAGAATCCCTTTGTGACCTTGGAGAAACCACTGTACATTATTATGTTATTAATACATTTGCAAAACTGGGACAATATTACTTCCCTGTCTCTTGGAGAATCTTAAGGCATCAATAGACAGGAAGATTGTGCTTAGATACCACAGAAATTGAAGGGTGTGGAAATACCTAAAATAGTCATCTCAGTAGAGTGAAGCTGACCATAATGGCTCGTGAACAATGAGCAGGAGCTCCTTCCATCTGTGCTACAAAGGAGTTTTGAAACAGGACTATGAAGGACTAATTGCTTCCTGGAAGGTAAATCATCTCAAGTGAAGAATGTCTTATAGGGGCAATACTGTAAGGTTTTCTCTACTATGTCTTACTATCCTCTCTTAAGAGTTGTTGCAATAACTATATTAGAATTTGGATTGACGGTGGTATCATTTTGCTTTCTTGGGGGGTCTGAGTACAGTTCGACTGTTCCTCTCCCCTGTCCCATCCCTGTTTAACTAAGCTAAGAGAGCTCAGTTTGATCTCACAGTGTAAGCAGGGTGGAACCACATTTTAAAGGTGCACCCAAATTATTTGTCAGCCTTGTAAAATCCAACTTATTTCACAGTTAACTCACTTCAAGGTTCAGCTTATCTGTTTTATAGGATCGGCTGTGTCAAAACACTAATGAAAAGTTGTGATGGTATATATTGCATATTTAACAAAGTCAAACTTTAGTTGAGCTCTCGAGGTGGGGGAGAGGGGAACTAAGTGGTCTGCACCATGTCTAAGCATGGGATCCTAGGTGAATTTAGAATTATTTTGTGCAGTGAGAGAGTCTGAACACCCATAGAAGAAATAATGATAAAACAATCATAATAGCAAATGAAAAGTGATTCTCAAAGCTTATGGCTAGCCAGCTGTGATCACAAAGTGCTCAAGACCTTTTTAGTGATCCTGCCCCAGACTGAGTGAGAAGGATACAATGAACTGGCCTGCACCGTATGTGGCTGCCTGATGTCGGTTTGCTCAGCAGCAGAAAAGAAGAGAAAATGGGTACTTCCATTCAGCATTTTAGTAAAAATATGCATAGAAATGCAATGCTGAAGAAAGAAATTAAATTATAGCAAGCAAAACAATGCTTTTTCCAGTTTATACATGATTCATGGAGTAACAGTAACAAAATTACAGTTACACAGTTTATAGTTTAGCAGAGAGATTCATGTAGATAGCAAGAACATAAGTTCTTCTTAGCTTTTGAAGGAATGTCAAAAATCAATAGGTTTATAAGCAATATAAGCCCTTGTGGTTCAGGTGAAATGAAATCTCAGTTTAATTCCAGTTAAATGGAAACCTTCCCATAAGCAAGTTATCCATACATAAGTAATGAAGGATTTCCCACCCATCTCATGAAAAGGCTTGTAATAATTGCTTCTTAAGGTGGATTGATTGCCTGAGACAGTATACCAGAATGCTGATCCCAACATAAAATCACAGATTTTTCTTATTTTAGCATGTTTTAGATGAAATTTTCAGTTACTTCATTTTTTTAAAAAGCAAAGAAGGGTGTGAGCACTTCATTAATGATTGTACTGAAGTGGAAGTCAAGATGCTATATTGTGTACCATAGGTTCTGGTTAGCAGTAGAAGACCTGAAGAAGAGGCCTATCCGTGAAGTTCCTGCTCGCGTCCAAGAAATCTGGCAAGAATTTCTTGCTCCAGGTGCAGCCAGCGCTATCAATCTAGATTCAAAAAGTTATGACAAAACCACGCAGAATGTAAAGGACCCTGGAAGATACACGTTTGAAGATGCTCAGGTCAGTTTGCAATCCTGCTTAGGGACATTTGAAATAGAATATTGGCTAGTGAAATCCATATACATAAAATAAGACATATTTGGGAATTAAATGGTAATGCTCTGTTTCCTAAAATGCCATTTTGGCAATGCAAATGGGTAGCATTCATTCTTTCATGAGGCCTGTGAATCACTAAAGCTCTGCATGAAACTTCTGTGCCTGGTATAGAGCCTTCAAGTGGGCTTCAATTAGAGCAAAGCATATAGTGCAGTGAAAATTATATTTTCATCTTCCTGTTTTCTTAATTTTCCTATTCAGTTACATTAAGAGAAAAGCTTCCCACACACACACATTGATTTCTAGTTCTCAAGATCTGTCTCTGAAAGACTTCCCTTGATACAGGCTCAATGTCTGTTCTCTCAATGCATGTCCAAAAGTGTTGTTATCATTTATAGGAGTTATAGGTTCCCCTCATGAAAAGAATATGACCCATGTGAGAAATAACATTTTGTAACAGCTTGTGCAGAAGTATCATATTTCACAGATGTTGTATATTCTACACCTTATTAAACTACTATCTACAGAACATTGGGCAAAGATCTGTACTTCAATAACCAGTATTACAGCTGTAAAGAACAGCGTGTAAATGTCTTATCTGGCTTTTGGGGGTCTGATTTAGTCACGATTTGAATACCATCGTCAAAAGATACTTTTGACCAGAGCTAGATTTGTGAAAACACTTATATTTTTGAGATTGGAAGTAAAAGTTAAAAAAAACAAAACGGTAAAATACAAATCTCAGTTTTCCTCAGAAGGAAAAACAAGTACTTCTGTATTAAATGCGACACTTCATGTGACTTATAATTTAATATTCCATCTTTGCAGAATTCTGAGAAAAGCAATAGAAAATAATTAAAGTCACAGTAAAAGTAGTGGAACCGGTACCATCCTCCCTTTTTCATCAGCAGCCCAGTGATGAAAATTAATTATTAATGCAAAGTGAAATGGTGTCAAAAGGAGAGATTGAGATCACATCCCTGCAGAATTTCCTACAGCTTGATTATTAGGTCATCATCCTGGGAGTCAGGAGATGCTGCTGCAAGTCCCACAAAGGAGAGAAGGGAATTGAATCGGGGCTTTCTACTTTTTGGGAACGTACCTCTGCCCTAAAAAGGAGGGGGAATAAATAACTCTACCGCCTTTTCATTTTGCTATTATGAGAATAGCAACCTATGATGCAACAATAAACTTTTCATTAGACGCTATATCATACCCACTGTTTTGAAGTACTCTGCATTAAGCTAACCACACAGTTTTTGCTTGCATCTGCTGACCCCCTGGAGATTTAGGAATGCAGTGTATAGCAAAGGCGTAAATTACACAAATAAACAAATCTAGCAAGATTAAAGATTTTAAAAAATTATGTCGTTGCAGTTGAGTCAGTAATTCCTTACAAGTAAGGAACTGGAATTTTAATTCCAATTAAATTCTTTACCAGTATCCAATATTTTTTTGTAAAAATAGGTATAAAATTTCAACACCATTTTACTTCCAGATCTCTCTTCTCTTCCCCCCCCCCCCCCCCCCCCGTACAGTGGGTTGTATGAGGGGAAGAGGAGGGAGAATCTGCTCTGACAAAGGAATTTCTAAAACTCATCTTAAGCTTTTCCTGTGCAAAAAGCATAATCAGTCAAGAGTGGGCAAAAGTTCATGCTAACACAAACAAGATGCTGAACTTGGATGCAGAATGTTGCATGTGACAGCAGTCTTTTCAACACATGCACACAAACAGTGAATCAGCAGTTTACAGGGCGCCCCACCTGAAGTGGCAGGGTTTTGACAGGAGTAGGGCTCTGCCTCTGGAACAGGCTCTTTATGGCCTGCCGGTTGGGAAAGAGACCGCTTGCAAGTCATTCCGGCAGTTGGCAGGCCATCTAATTGTGGTTAAAAATGCTTTGAAAAGCATTTCTGGACTTGAAAGATGGCACCACGGAACCCCATGTCAAATGAGAGCGATACATAAGTAAAAATAGACTGATTGTGCTAAATAACATCCAGCCTCAATTCCTGACTAATCTGTATATTAACAATACTAATACAGCCTAATTTATTCTTGCTTTTACAGGGTTGTTTTTTGCACAGAAATAACATTTTAATGCTCCTCACCATTGATATGTATAACAGGAGGAGAGTCCTTTCTGCTCTCTGTTGACTGCATTGGCTGCTTTCGTAGAAACTGAGTGGAATAAAAACTCCCCAAATGAACCAGCCTAAGTTCTGAATATACACCAGAATTTCTCTGCTTAGTGCAAGAAATACAATGAAAGGCACTTCGAATCATTCTCTAGAGTTTTTAACAAAACAAAAAATAAAAATCAGCTTTAATTTTACCTTGCCATACTTTTCAAGCAAGGTGGGTTTTTTTTTCTATTCACTAATTTTATGCAGCACCAAGCTGACAAACAGTATTTACTTTACAGTTTGTTTGCTGTTTCCTGATTGCTGTGCTACAAGTTTCCTATATTAAAGGTGGGATTTGAGTAAAAAATAAAACAAAAATAGCTAACACAATTCAGTGGATTTTTAAAAATTTTTTTTTGTGAGAGTATTTCTTATTGTGATTTCTTTTTCTACAAATCCCTTTCCTAACATTATAACTAGAACCAGAATTATAAAGTGTCCTACATCATAGATTTTCAGGTTTTCATATTTTACAGAAATGAGAATGCTCCAAAAAGAAAAGCTCTGTAAACTGCCTGTGTCATTTGTTTTCTGAATAAGGGTTTCCAAATTTTCATATGCCTCTGAAGAATAAATATCTTGGAAATTAGATTAGCCTGGAACTGTTTTTCAATTTCCATATGTATTTTTCTTTTTATATTGTCAGCTGGATAGCGGAATAAACATCTGTCAAGGGATGTTTTCAAGAGTAGCCAGGGGATATCCTTCCTAACTTAAGCACTCATTTGTAGTGCTGAATTAGAAACCTAGTACCTTTTTCCAGCCTATGAAGTCAGAGAAACATCTCCAGAAACATTCAGAAAATCTGATGAGGAAGGATCCACAACTCCTGATTTAGTCACTTACCTAAACTGACTAATGTAAGGGAGGTTTGAAACTGGGCCTTGAGCTAGGACTCAGTTGTAAATTCTTAGAAAAATAATTCCATAGTGGAAATAGGGACTATAAATTAAAGAAAGTGTGTTGTGTTCTTTATACATAACAAATAGGTGGGATTTCTGCTTTAAGAGTAGAGAGCAACTCAGCCTTAGCTTCAGAACTGCGACCTACTACTACCTATAAGACTTCCTACTCAAAACAGTGCTAGCTGGTATACATTCCACAACTGAAACATACAACTGCCTCCCATTTTACTTATGTCTTCTTTTATGGGAGTAACAGCTCCTTCTTTTCCTTTCAGGAGCACATTTACAAACTGATGAAAAGTGATTCTTATCCTCGTTTTATACGATCCAGTGCCTACCAGGAGCTGCTACAGGCCAAGAAAAAGGTATTGGTCCATCTTGCCTTTGTCTTGCCACTGTGCAAAGCGGTGGTTATGTTTGCAACAATACTCAGTCTTCTCTCCCCTGTGCCAGTGCAACTGGATATCTGGTAGGTGACCAGCTTGGCGTGTTTGGAGGGTCACATACACACAGGAGTTCAACATACATATATGTGTATATATCCTGCATGCGGGCATGTTTCAATAAGTTAACCTAGCAAAACTTATTTTTATTTTTACATCCCATATTGTACTGTTTTCTCTGTTATGAAGCACCTTAAATTGCAAAGTGCTTTACAAATACATTAAAAAAATAAAATAAAATCCCAGAAGAATAGTCTTTCATGTTTGCAAGTTTGCTTATGTAATAGTTGTTGTTCTCTTTATTCCACCTATAAAAGCTACAGAATGTGTTTAGAAACAATCATCTTATCGTACGAATAACTTCTAATTTCAACTATAAATATAGGGGCTTCCTAATT